AAACTGTATGGCTCAGAGACTAGAAAGCCACTTATTCTCTATTAAATACAAAGTCTTGTAATGTGCAGAAAACACTCCACAGCATTTTTCTTGACAGAGAACTAGCACTGTCAGTCCACCCACAGCCTAAAGCTCAGCCATTCTGAAGAAGTAGCTAAGTGTGGTAGCAAGATATTTCAAAAAAGAATCTGACCTCTGACCTTCTCTAGGATGGGCCTGGTGGGCAAAAGGTGACATCCGCACCATATCTGGCATATAGAAGTAGGACCTTCTCCTATTTTTAAAGGACATATTTCACAAGCATACCAACAACCTATTTCTAAGCAAAGAGTCTTTGGCAGGTCCAGGTAATATATATTTTCCTTTCCCAGGGAGACTGGCAGTCTATCTTTTTTGGAAAATATTTATTGTGGAGAAAATTGGGCAATGATCAGTCTGTTAGCAACATCCGCTTCCTTTAGAAAAGGAAAATATGTTGCAAGGGCAGGATTTTCCCAAATGTCACAATAACAGAAGTTAAAATGTAAGCCAATATATAATCCATTTAATATCCACACCCATAATTATCTTTATGTCTTTCCTCTTCCTTAATTATTCACCTTCCCATAGTTTAGCTATAAGCCTGATATAAACCATCCTTTCTTTACATGTATGGTGCTTCCTGTTTACAAAATACCTTCAAAGACATGATTTCCTTTGTCTATTCAACAATGTGAGAGTTAAATATTATGGTTCTTTGACAAATGGCAAAACTGAGGCTGGCAAACATAAGTAAGTCACCTGCCCAAGGGTCACCTAATGAGAGCCTGAATCTGAGCCAGCAGATTTTTTTTTTTTTTTTTTTTGGTCTGGAAGCAGCTTTCAGAATAAACTAATGTCAATTAACAAGATATTTAAAATGGCCCTGTGGTAGATAGAGTAATCCTCCACCTGCAGGCCAAGGTATCCAAATCCTAATTCGCAGAAACTTTCTCTTGATTAAGTGACATTACATGGCAAAAAAAAAAAAAAAAGACTTTGCAGGTTTATCAAATTAAGAAACTTAAAATGAAAGATTATTCTGGATTATCTGTGTGGCCCCAAGAGGGAGATGGATGATTCCATGTTAGAGTGATACAATACAAGAAAGACTCGGGAGTCACTGCTGGCTTTGATGATGGGAGGAAGGGGACACCAGCTATGGGACACTGGTGGCCTCTAGGACATGGAAAAGGAAAGGAACGAAGTTTCCCGCTACAGCCTGCAGAAGATATGCAGCATTACGAACAACTGATTTTCGCCCAGTGACACCCATCTTGGACCTCTGACTTCCAGAACTGAAGATAACAAATTTGTGTTGTTTTTAGACATCTAGGGGATGGGGGTGTAGCTCAGTGGTAGAGCATATGCTTTCCATGTGCAAAGCCATAAATTCAACTCCCAGCACCAAAAAAGAAAAGACACTGAGTTTGTGCTAATTTATGACAAAAGCAATAGGAAACGAAGACTAACACATACACAAAACTGAGATTAGACTGCCCTAGTCTGCTACATGAATAGTGTCCATATTATTTGTTTTATATAACAGCCCAATATAGTTTCAGAATACATTTACTTCTGAAAATATATAGATCATTAATTCCTAAACTAAATCATATGCTAATCTGTGGCTTCAGTTCTGTTTCCATGTCCAAATTCAGAAAAATTGTGATTTTTCTACAGATCAGTCATTTTAGCCTAAAACAACAACAAAACCATGCCCCAAAATGATCTTTTTGTTTTCACTAATTCTATAATGCCTCAAAATTCTAATTATTATGACTATTTGGGGGGAAAAATCAGTTTTCAAATATTATATAGACCTTGGTTAAAAGTCTACAAATTATAGAGAATTTACTGGATAAAAGGGTTTAAATTCCAAGAAGGCAACTGCTGTGATATTTCAGTCATTGCATAAACATGTAAAATAGGAAACCGGGCCTTTTTCTTTTTCTTTTTTTTTGCATCCCAGTTGTGGTTTTGTTTACATAATATGTCAAGAAAATCAGAGAGAAAAAGAAAAACCCAGAAGATAAGTAAGTGGTAAGTCAGAAGAGTTTAAAAGAAAACTAACAAAAATATTTCAAAGCCAAATTTCACAAATCCAAATGATAATAAATTTTACACTGAGGTTTCTATTTTTTTTATGCTTGCTAAAATATAAACATTATTCAGAAAGCAAAGCTGCAAGTAAGCTTGTCATCTTGGATTGAACTCCAGAGGTGGGGGCAGTGTCTAACAGTACGTTTCTATTTACGAATTGTTTTTTTCTTAAGGATGCATACATGTATAAAAAATTCTAGAAGGATAAATTGCTGTGATAAGAGACATTGCCTCTGGGTAAGCTAGTTTAAGAATCCTGTTTTTCATCTTATCCCCCTTTGGACAGACTGAAATTTTTATTATCATGTACATATTTTATTTTTTCAATAAGTACAATAAGATCTGAAGCCAAATTTCAAAAAACAACAACAAATTTATCTTGAAATATACAAAACTCATGTTATTGAAAACAGAAATATATCAAAACATTTCATCTTATCAAAATTGAACTGCATTTCATTTTATTAATATTCATATTGTATTAGAAGATAAATGTTCTGACCCAGAATATTCTGAATAAGAGGTATTTTTCTATTTGTGTTAAAACTGTGCCTGTTTATAAAACTCTGGAGGTTTTCCAAGTTTTTGTCACATGAAAAAAAAATAGAGTTTAATGTTGATAATTTCAAATGGAAAAGAACCATCGTGACTTGGTTCCTCTTAACAGGATTAATTACTGATTTGGCACTCATCCCTCACATGGAATGGAACAGTCTACATCATGATTCCTGTTTCACTGATATAATTCCCAGAATAATATATTTTTGAACCAGGAGGAAACAACAATATGGAAAAAAAGTGAATTAATTTTATTCAGGCTTATCTTAAAGCATTCTAATCAAAGCAACAAATCAAAAATCATTAAAAAATTGCATAAAATTTACACTAGGACTAGGGATAAGATTTAGTGGTAGATGGAGTGGGGGCAACTATTAGACTAGAAAAAATGCCACATTATTTCTTTGAGAATTCACTAAATCCATATTAATATAAATATGTCAGCATACACACACATATATACACACATACAGGCACTTTCATACATCAATATAAACGTACAAAGAATTATGGATATTTAGTTTCAATGATATAAATTAAAACTTAAATTATGCAATTTTTCTCCCTACTATCACAATCCTGACTCTGAAATTTTTTCCTGAAGATAAAATTATCCTATTACCAGAAAGACAACATACAATTTTCCCAGTGAATTCTGAATAAGAGGGATTTTTGTTTGTTTGTTTTGAGTCATCTAAATCTACTTGAATATAAAAGATTCCTCAGCTGGTTTCTGTAGCACAGCCCAAGGCTTGGATGAAGTCATGATCAGGGAGCTAATCTTCCATAATGATCAGTAAGTCATGCTTCAATCTGGCTGACAGAGAAATGACAAAAAGCTTTCTGAACCTATGATCTCCTTTTTCTTAGAAGAAATGCAAAACCACATTAATAAATGTCCCTTAAATTTCTCTACCAACACTATCAATTTAAATTGGAAGACATCTAAAGCAACGGAAATGATATATTTTTTAATTTATTTATTTTTAATTAGGTATATGTGACAGCAGAATGCATTTTGATTCATTGTACACAATTGTAGCACAACTTTTCATTTCAGTGGTTATACAGGATGTAGCATCACACCATACATGCAGTCATACATGTACCTAGGGTAATGATGGACATCTCATTCTACCATCTTTCCTGCCCCCATGCACCCTCCCCTTTGCCCAATCACAGTTCCTCCATTTTTCACATGCCTCCCTTCCACTCTTTATGGATCAGCATCCATTTATCAGAGAGAACATTCGGCCTTTGGTTTTTGGGGATTCGTTTACTTCACTTCTCTAACTCCATCCATTTACCTGCAAGTGCTATAATTTTATTCCCTTTTAATGTTGAGTAATATTCCATTTTGTGTGTGTGTGAGTGTGTGTATGTGGGTATATATCACAGTTTCTTTATCCATTCATCTATTGAGGGGCATCTAGGTTGCTTACACAGTTTAGCTATTGTGAATTGAACTGCTATAGATTGATGTGGCTACGTTACTATAGTATGCTGATTTTAAGTTCTTTGGGTATAGAACGAGGAGTGGGATAGCTGAGTCAAATGGTGGTTCTATTCCAAGTTTTCTAAGTAATCTCCATACTGCTTTCCAGATTGATTGCACCAATTTGCAATCCCACCAGCAGTGTATGAATGTGCCTTTTCCTCTACATCCTCGTCAACACTTATTATTGTCTGTATTCTTTTTATTTGTATGTGGTGCTGAGGATCGAACCCAGCGCTGCATGCATGCCAGGCAAGTGCGCTACCGCTTGAGCCACATCCCCAGCCCCTATTGTCTGTATTCTTGATAACTGCCATTCTGACTAGCATGAGATAAAATCTTAGAGTAGTTTTAATTTACATTTCTCAGATTACTAGAGATGTTGAACATTTTTTCATATATTTCTTGATCAAATGTGTATCTTCTTCTGAGAAATGTCTGCGCTCAGCCCATTTATTAATTGGGTTGTTTGTTTTTGTTGTTGTTGTTGTTAAATTTTTTGAGTTCTTTATACATCCTGGATATTAGTGCTCTATCTAATGTGTGTGAGGCAAAAATTTGTCCCAAAACGTGATTGTTTCTTTTGTTGAGAAGAACCTTTTTAGTTTGAGTCCAGAAATTATGTATTTTTAATGCTTTCTTATGCCACAAAATTATGGAGGAAATCATACACAAATCATTTGTTCTTATACAACTATCCCTGAGGGTCTGTGGTGATTATATTCATTACTTTATTAACACAACGAATATTACTTTAAAAAAAAAACATTTTTTAAAAAAACAAATAATGTAAATTAAGAGAACGGGCCACATTATCAACATTTACCTGTTGCATCAAATTCAATTGGTTGGCACCGGCGGCTAGAAGACCAGTCACATTTGAGTACTTGCCCTCCTTCTACAATCCCAGGCTGGGTAGTGTTTGCTTTGGGAGCTCCCACCAGAAGAAACATCCTACTAAAATACAAAAGGGATGGACAATATTTTAATTGACACCAAGCATCAGCAATATCTTACAATTTATGAGGAGGAATCATTCTCTTGATAGTATCCACAACTACTTTTAAAAACTACTTACAGAGGGCATAATTTTCCTTGTTCATTTGGTATTCTCTTACATACATGTACTATTTGGTCTACTTCATCTAAAAAATATCACATGATAACTTCAGGGCTACATTCATTTAAAAATGCACATTGGTCAAATTGTACACTTTAAATATGTACAAATTATTGTATGTCACATATATCAATAAAGCTGTTTCAAAAACGTATGCTACCTAAAGTCAAGGAAGTTTTATGTCAATTTGTGTGATCTGATATTCATTTTTTAAATTTAAATTTAATTTTAATGGTATATAAAAATTGTGTATATTTATGAGGCACTGTGATACATTTTGACACAAGTATACTTTATGTAATATTTAAATCAGAGTGAACATATTTATCTCCACAAGCATTTTATCATTTCTGTTAGGTGAAAACATGCACATTTCTTTCTTCTAGCTTTTTGAAGTAGAGAGTACACTGTTATCTATAGTCACCCTACAGTGCAACAGAACACCAGAACTTCCTACACCTAATTGTAATTTAGTGCCCTGTTATGTAGTTTCTATATTTTGCAGAGCAAAATAAATAAGTCTAAATAGATTATTACAAAATATGATAATTATAAATATTACCATTTTTCCATTTTAAAAAATTATCTTTGATTAGAACTATTGTATCTCGATCCTTTCATTTAATGGTGACTGAAAAATTTCTCTTCACAAGAGTAATCTAGTGGCTTTCTGGTCAAAGATTATGTATGACTACTATTTCATTTTTTATTAGCGTAAAATAAATTGAAGACAAAATAATCAGTAGCCAAAAATCTTAAGTATAAGAAAATGCTGTCTTTTGTTGTGTTTTATTCATTCAAAAAAGGTGTGAATAGAGCATCTCCTCTTCATAAAGGCAGTGCAGAACTAGGGACACCTGCTTTCAGTGGGGTGCACATTCCCCTGGAGGCAAGAAACTAGCCAACAAAGAAACAAATTACTCATATTGTAATGAAGAGAGCCAACAATTGGCCAAGAAAGATTATTTGGGAATAGGGAGAGGAGATCTTCTTCAGATAAAGGAAAGTTCTCTCTAAGGGATGAAGGACAGCACAGATCCTTTAGATGACAGGAGTTTTCTCTAGGGACGCTGTCTTTAAAGAATAGGGAAGAGAGGCCTCCTTAAGAAAAAGCAGTCAGGGAAATGATCTTCCAGAAACTCACAGTAAATTGAGGTAAACAAGGGGCTGGGGTTGTGGCTCAGTGGCAGAGTGCTCGCCTAGCACATGCAAGGTCCTGGATTCCATCCTCAGCACTACATAAAAATAAATAAAGGTATTGTGTCCAACTACAACTAAAAAGTAAAATGTTTTTTTTTTTTTAAATGGGTAAACAAGATTCTAAAGTGGGCCTTCAGGAGCATCTGTGAGGGAAGAACAGAGAAGAAATGTGGGATGAGGGAGTGAGAGGAAGCGGTTGACGGGGAACCCCAAACAAGACAGAAAGATCCCAGGCAGGAAAGAATTTAGTCTGCAGGAGTTACAGGAGAAAAGGTGTGGCTGAAATAAGAGCAAGCTGGGAGTGGCACAGAAAAACAGTTTGGGAGTCTGGCACAAGTCATTTGAAAACTTAAGAAAACTAAATTTCATACCCTTTGGGGAAAGCATTAAGAAGGGAATACAGCTAGGCATGGTGGTACACTCTGGTATTCCCAGCTACTCAGCAGGCTGAGGCAAGAGATCACAAGTTTGAGGTCCAATCTGTGGCTATGTAGGGAGATCCTGTCTCCAAAAAAAAAGAAAAGAAAAAGAGAAAGAAAGAGAAGAATAATCTGGGCACGGTGGCACACGCCTATAATCCCAGAGGCTCAGGAGGATCTCAAGTTCAAAGCCAGCCTCAGCAAAAGCAAGGGCCTAAGCAACTCTGTGAGACCCTATCTCTAAAGAAAATACAAAATAGGGCTGGGGATGTGGCTCAGTGGTCGAATGCTCCCCAAATTCAATTCCCAGTACCAAAAATAAAGAGAAAAATAGAACAAGGAAAGCAAGAGATCTGCAACAGTGCCGGGAGGTGACAGTGACCTGCAGTAGGAAGGTGGGTGGAGAGAGGAAGGTGGGCAGATTGAAGAAATCTGCATTAGAATTAACAGGGAGAGTTGGTGGCTCTGAAGATGGGAGAAAGGGATCTTTCTTGCATGCATGGATTCGAGGGAAGCTTATAGAGTCTAGGAGTGGAAGGCAGATTAAGTATTTACAGGAAACCATGAATTTAGCTCAGTATGTCAACTTGAGATGTCTGAGACACCTAATTGGTAGCCTGGAGCTCTGAGGAGAGCTCTGCCTGAGAAATAGTGTGCTGAGAGTATCAGATCATAAAATAGATGAGTTCACCCCGGAGGAGCTTCAGAGAGAAGTCATCCTAGGAGAACACTCCAAAGAGGAACCACTCTCAGGAATTCAGAGGAGAAAGAGGATATAGTGGAGACTCACGGTCTTCTAAAGAAATTGATTGAGATGCAGAGGAAGAAAAAACAGGATATGGGTAGACACATCACTAAGTAAATGCTATGTCATTATCATTCATTTCCTTAAATGCTAAGTATATTTACAATTGTTTTCCCCTTTTGTGAAATTATGAGCAAACCTACATTTTAAATGTGAAATGCACTCATTTTAATTTTCTTAAATCAATTTCAATTTCATTTATTCTGGGCAGGAGCTACCGAATTTCATCTAGACTAGACAAAAAACTGGCTGTGTGAATTACTAGTTATAAGCATCTTCCTGTCTGAGACTTATCTTGAAACCTGCAAATTGAAAATAAAAATGAAACTCACAAGCAAACCACGCCCTGTTTAATAAAGCTTTATGCAGTCATATTTGGCATCAATAATATACCAACGTTGGGTCTCTTCCATTATAACAAAATAATTCTGGGTAGGAAATCAACTTAGTTTTCATTCAGTAAGAATCTTTCATAAGTAAAAAAAAATTAGAATTGAGTAAATGAACTGCCACCTACTCCTATTCCTGACCCTTACCCCCCCACATGCGTACCACAACCTCCTTATTCTTTTTCTAGAGCAGAGCTGATTTACATAGCCAAATTACATATGTATGTGAATTTACATTTATTTAAATATATAAATTACATGTATAATGTTCTTTTCTTTCAGTAGGTCAAAACTTTGACCACAGGGCTGGTGATGTAACTCAGTAAGAGAGTACTTGCCTAACATGAAAGTCTAGTGCTAGGTTATAGCTCCACTACCATTAAAGAAAAAATGATCTCAAAAATCACAAAACTGTACATCATCTGAATTAAATATTTTTTCCTGTATATCTTGATGAAAAATAACATTTCACACAAGTGTGCATTTCAAGGGCTATACCTTGAAAAGGGCTTGGGTCATTTATGCAGTAGTCCTAAGAAGGATAATATACAGGTATCGACATGTTTTGAGTGTTGTGGACCATACCAGGCTCCAGGGGTTAGAACTAGTTCACAGAATCTGCCTTGACACCTACATTCAAATTCATTTCTAGATTGGTATCAATTATCACTTAATAGAACCATTTATAATGTTTTGTCAAAACTATTGTTCCCACCTTATGATAAATTGCTTCTTCGAATATAGGGGGCTCTAATTCACCCTTATGCCTGCCACACATGTAAAAACTCAAGAAAAGTTCATGATGGAGTAACAAGCAAATTTAATAATTATAGTTCTCAAAGTAATCACATATTTTTAAAAAGTAATTTTCCAGTATGCTCTAATATCCCTAGGATGAAGAAATTATCCTCTACTAAATGTCCAACCATTTAATTATCCTTAAAACAATTTCCCTATTCAAAAATTTTATTCAAAGACAGATACAGTGGTGGGAGCAGTGACACATGTCTGTAATCCCAGCAGCTCAGGAGGCTGAGGCAGGAGGATCGAGAGTTCAAAGCCAGCTTCAGCAAAAGCAAGGTGCTAAGCAACTCAACGATACCCTAAATAAAATATAAAATAGGGCTGGAGATTTGGCTCAGTGGTGAAGTGCCCCTGAGTTCAATCCCTGGTACACCGACCCCCGCCCCCCCCAAAAAAAGACAAGTATGGTGATGCACGCCCATAATCCCAGCAACTCAGAGGGCTAAACCAGGAGGATGAAAGTTGGAGGCCAATCTCAGCAACTTAGCAAGGTCCTAAGCAATTTAAGAGACCTTATTTCAAAAAAAAAAAAAAAAAATAGAAAAATCACTGGGTGATGTAGCACAGTGGTAAAGCACCCCAGGTTCAATTCCCAGTACCCCAAACCAAAACAAACTAAACTCAATTCAATTTTGGACTCTAGATATCTTCTTTACTTGGCACCATGAGACAGAAAGAGCTGGGAAGATTTTAAGCCTTCAGCAAAGACAGAAGAAAGGACGCAGTAGGAGAGTCCTCGGAATGAAAACAGCACTGTGTTGGCAGCACATAGCTTGAGTTCCTTGAATAAGACCACAAACAAGGCTGCCGCTTTTCATCAGATTTGCACATTATAAGCATGAAATGACAGTAATTAGATGTACTAATATGGATGCTCACCCAGCTTTCCTAAACATACCTTCATGTGTAGTCTTGTATACTGGTGAAATACACAAAAAATAGTAGAATAATATAAAAGGAATGTGAGAGCATTGTCAATACCTAAGTGCTAGCCTACTAGAAGAAAAAAGCTAAAGATATTTTAATTACTTTTAAGATATTTAAGCGTTTTTTAAAAGAGAGAAACAGTGAGATGGAGAAAGTAAGACTACCTTAGACATATGTTAAAGTCTTAAGAGATAGCTTTGTAGTGAAAAAAATAAATATTTGCATAGAATAAAAGGTATAGAATGGTAAAAGATGTTATCTGAGAAAATTAAGGAATAGAAAAAGCAATACAT